ATCTTCAGATAACAAATGGTGAGTTTAGTTGTTTAAAAAATAAATAAAAACGGGTTATTGGGATAATTTGTATTTCTGTAATAGAGCGTTGTGCGTTGGCCACAGCTATTGGTCTACAGCAGATCCGACGAGTATATGCACATGGAATTTAAAGCCTACCTAAGGTTACGGTACTCGTGAAAATCCCAAAAAAAAAAAAAAAAAAAAAACCGAAAGGGATCCAAAAAGTCCGGGTTGCTGAACCAGTTCGGCCTCTATTCATTTTTTCAAGGAATAGGTTCTCCGATTTGGTTTTGGTTAACATTGGAAAAATCATCTGTGATTTGACCAATATATCTATTTTTGAAGGCTAGAGGTCTCTACCAATAGAGTGCTAGTGACCAAATTCATTAACGGAACTGCTCAGAATTACAATCTATTAATAATGTTTCTAATAAAAAGGATGGAGAGGAAGAGCAAGTGTAAGAATGAGCAATGTTGAGTGCATATGCTTGGCCAATAGATGGGTTGCCTTGTTACTAAAACGACAAGACCAGTGAGGGATTTGTGATATAAGGAGTTCACAATCAGAAATAGTGTGTTTGATTCTTCACCAAGGAGGAGAAGAATCAGCTTCAAAATAACACTTGGGGTTTTATTTGATTGTATTTAGATAAATATTGTTGAAATGTTATTATAGGCTTTGTAGACTTTATTTTCTTTTGATAAAGGAAAAGAAAAAGAGAGAGAAGCCAAAATTGTGATTAGACAAACATACATGGGTAGGACAACAATAGTGTGGCAAAATGACTGTCAAGTGTGAACGGTTTAGATGAAGATCTGGATGCCGTATGTCCGACTATAGTGGTTGCAATTATTGAAACAGGTGCAACACATCTTTCAATTGGGACCCTATTGGCCTCTTAGACTGTGCCACGGTGGATATCCAACAGCTACATCAACTCAGTTGGATTCTTTGCCCCACGCTAGGAGGGCCTTCCGACCGGTTGGGGTGAGTATTATTCAGTTAAAATCTAAACTTTGAATAAAAAAAAGCTCCTTGTAGTGATTCCTAACAATACATGAGATCGATAGAGCGTAGACCATTAACATCCAAAGAAGCATCAAAATTTATCTTAATAACTTCCCACCAAGAAACTTCCATTGAACATGAATGGGAGGAAGTGAGAGATCCGAAAAAAAGTGGAAAGCTCTCAAATAGGAATTGCATCTCATTATTACCCATACGATTCTTATATTTCCAGAATCCACACCACCAATCCCAAATCGAGTTATCCACAGACCTTAGAGAGATCATGTTAGTGCCAATAATACTTCAAAATTGTTGGGGGGGAGTAAGTACAATCTTTGAATATATGATTCACATATTCTTTCACCTCACCTCCACAAATAACACATATAACACATTTGGGTTATCCATACCCAATTCAGCATCTTTTACTTACCAATTGGATTACTACTGGGTTTATCTATATTTATTTCTTTATACATTCTTAAATATAAGTAGAGAGAGAGAGAGAAAAGAATCTTTAAGTCTTAATTAACACACCGACGGAGCAAGGTGCACGTGAGCTCTACACCTCGTGTGAGTGGAGAATAGTGAAAGTGAATTGTCAAGTCTGAAATATCGGTTTTGTCGGGTGAATTTTTAAATTATTCAAGCCGAAGGTAAAGGTTTTTAACTTTTCAGGATGATTAAATAATGATTATCATAATAATAAAGTAATTATTATAGTGGACGGCCCTGATTACATTTGACTAATACTTAATTCATTTATGAGGTCACTCCATGTCCATGTGTTCATGTGTGTCTCCAATCAATTCCTCTCTTTTCTCTGATATATACTATGTGTTTGGTTCCGTTTATGTTTATTGAATAAACGTTTGTATTTTATTTGTTGGTAAAATCAAGAAATGCAATAATTATAACCGTTTATGACAATTAGGCGCCACTAGCTCTACATCAGCATAACAGTAAAAAAGCGCTTGACAGTTTGTGAAAGCTTTAAAAAATAACTTCCATATATATCTGACGTGCACATAAATTAAAATTGATTTTTTTTCATTTTCGATGCATGCAAAAGAATAAGAGAGAGAAAATGCTGAAATGACGTTTATTTGATACCATCAATAAACATTTACTGAATAAACATAAACAGAACCAAACACTCTCATAATTATATTCAGTAGAGTGTGGAAGACATATTAAAAGATTGGAAGTCCAAGGGACCTTGGGCTGCACAATCTAAATGATCCCCGAGCTATAATCAGCACTAGGGCTTGCTCCACTTCAAGTTTTCAACCACATGGTCTTAAAACCATGGGTTATGGGTATGACTTCTGAGTAGAGTATCTCTTCTTCAAACAAGAAAATATACGACATCCGTTCCGTTCCAACTTCCAATACACACACACACACTCTCAAGAGCAAGTAGGACTGTTGAGTCAGTGAGAACAAATTTACCACTTTAGCTTTAATGGGTTTGTCTGCAGAGATCAAACCTAAAAAGCTCGTTCTCCTTCCTTATGTAAGCTTCTAAACTGAATGGGATCCAGTCTTTAATTTGATCCCCAGTTAACAACCGAGTCCATGTCGATGCATACATACATAACAACTCCGAAGTAAGTAACCCCCACTTGATCCAACGCAACTCAAATTAGTGCCTATTCACGGTGGTTGTGACTTGTGAGGTAAGCGTAAACACCAACTAGCCCGCAGACCAGTACGTTCTAAGATGCATACAGATTGCTTTTTTTTTTTTTTTTCTTTTTGTATTTTGTCGTCGCTTCTCATTTTTGTGTTACCTGGCATAAATATTGTTGTCTCATCTTTTCCTCGTACTATGGATTTTTTTTTTTTTTATTTTGGTAATAAAGATGGATTGGTAATGGTGGAAAGGTGCCTTTTATGAAATTGTTTTTATTTCAAGTCCTCTCTACTTTATTGTTCCATATTTTTTTGTCCCCCACCGCCCAAAAAAAAATAAGTGTCATTTCCCTATAAGGAGTGGAGTGAAATTTTATAAGATCCAAAAAAAACAATATATTCAAATATCAAGGAAAAAAGTCTTCAAGTGGAATGAGCAGACGTTCTTCTTCCAATCTGTGGACCCAAAAACTTTTAATTGCCAGCTTTCACTGGGCACTTGTCAGACAGAAGCCAGCCAGCTGCCCAGACTCGAGCTGACATTTGAGTTGTTAATTGATTCTAGCGGTCAGCCCAGCGCCCAGATGCTTATCACTCCTTCCCCACTTCTTGTTGCCTTGTGCTAGTTGGTAACTCAAAGGAAAGGGCCATCTCACCCCATTCATCATTTTACTGGAGCTTTTGTATCTTATTTTCTTTTCACCTAGAAATGATTCCATAAAATTGGCATCCGGAACGCAGATAATATCACCTTTAATTTGGTATGTTGAGAATTGAGGTGATATCACCATATTCCCTACTATTTCTATCTTCATCTTTCTTTTTCACGGGTATGGATCTATTGAATTGTGGGAACTTGCATCCATCTTCATCTGTCTCACACACACAAAACAGCAATAAAGGGAAATCAAAGGTCACGTCGTTTTCTGCATGATCCAGTGCTCAAAACTTTTACCTTAACCGTTGGCCTCACCCTTTTTCAAAAAGCCTTTGCCTTGGTCTATTCTGATGAGCTTATAGAGGAATCTCTGATGCTGGGGGTAGCTTTTTATTGATGTCCCTTTTCATGGATGGATGGACACAGTACTACAGTACAAGCTCAAGCAAACACTGGGTGCAATGTTTCAAAGATGTTACTTGAGATCTATTTTGGTAAATCACAGCAAAAAGTTAAAAAATTAAAATAGATGAAAAAAAAAAGAAGCAATTTTAGATGCATTAACCCCAAAAGTGAAATTTAGTGCATGGTTTGAGCTATTTAAGCAGAGACCTCCTCTGTATCAATGAAAAGGTTGAAGCCTTTTGGAATTTAAACGGATTCCATAGTTCTTCAAGGTATATTTACGTGAATTGTCCATGGCAGGATAATGTAAAATAAACAAAATAAATGACATATGCTGAAAGAAAAGGTCAGGCCTACAATAATCTGATGGCAATTCCAGTTCAATGTACCTTATAACAACTTAAATACTGAAAGCAGGAATACCAACATGTGATAGGCGGCTTCCATGATGCAGAAACTCTTGTACGCTCAAGATTCTTCTATCCACTAGTTCACATGATACAGTCATTTTGCAGCAACATATATAGGACAGTTTCAGGTGCACATGGTCTGCCCCAGCTGGAATTTTCAACAAATATTACCACTAGGTTTCTGTAGCAGCTTACCTTACCCTCTCATATTGTAAGACAACTAATATATAATTGGATTGGAGTAACGAGTCAACTACAGTGATGTGCCAATACATATGATTTTGTTTTGTTAAAACAAAAATAGCATCCACAGCAATTTGTTCTTACTGAAGTGACAATTTTTTTTTTTTGTTTCAAAAAACACAATCATACATATTAGTGAATACCCCTTGGCCCCTGCATTTGCACAAGACCCATGAAATCATTGGTCTCAATCTGCATTGCATCAACATGAAATGTGTAATATAGGATAAATACATCTATATCTATATCTATCTATCTATCTATCTATCTATCTATCTATGTGTATATATATATATATATATGCAATAGCATTAGAATCTGAAATTTGGAAGATGATTAGTCATATTCATCTCTTCAAAGGGGAAAAGAGTATAAAACTGGGGGTTGACTGATATTCACATGATCTGAATAAAAGAAACATGATTTCGTTGTCAAGAAAATTGAAATTTGTTACTTTTATTATCAGTGGTACAAAAAACAAATGTGCTGAGAATGCTAGAAGATATTAAATTGGAAACTGCAAGATGTTGAATTAAAGATGCCACTGAAAACTTAACCCTAACTACTAAACCTTGTTCAAGAAGATCAGAAATAATAAATATTTCTAAATCTAATACGTTCTGATATTGCATTATCATTGAAGTCTTGAATGAATTTGTTTCACTTAATATCCAGAAAATCAGGTTCTCTTTTCAAGTTACATGTTCAAAGAGATTCAGAAACCTGACTGACCAATGGAAATTGATTCAATGTAATTGAGTTGGATACCACGATTATCTTCACATAGAATGGTGAAAAGGGTGTACAAATTTAGTTTAAAATAATGGGTGTAGAATGCAACATTCTCTTTTTGCTTCCTTTTTTGCCGCTTAAAAGTCAATGGTACATCTCATTGTGAGTTAAAGAATAATAAAAATACAGGGGAAGGAGAACTAAAGATCATGAAAAGTGGTCTACAACTCTACATTACAAGAAGCAAAGATGAGAACCATATCTGTATGGCCCTTCAGCTTCTATGATTGTGGAGCTTGTGGCATGAAGTTCAAAGTTTCAGCTCATAAATCCTCCACTGGACAAGCTAAAAATATCTGCAAGAAAATTAAGTTTATTAGAAACATTTTAACAAAGATAATTAAAAAAAAAAAATGAATGAGCAGATGAGAAATCAGGTTATAACATCATGGAGGTTAACATGCCTCACATTGGTAAAACTATCAAAGCACCTTCTTTACTGATCACGTTTCTTACCAGTATCAATGCATAAAGAGAGCCACAAAATCAAGCTAATGCACAATTGAAAGATAAAAGGAAGATTTCACTAAGTCAGAAGTTCTATCCAGTGGTGAAAGGGACATAAAATTTCAAAGAAACCTACCTAGAAGACTATGTCATATCTTGTTTCTCTAAAAATTCCAAAAAAATCAGGCTTTCACATAATCGAGACCATCATGCTTCCTTTTGTTAGGTCTGGAAAAGAAGCAGAACTGAGCCCATGACTTTTTTTGCTTAAGTGGTTGAACCTTGACATCCCTCTTTGCAACAAGTTCAGCCATGTATTGAACAACTGCCTGAAAGCCACAAGACCATAATTAGACTTGGAAAGAAGCATGGATCCTCAATAAAAACAAAAGTACAACATTAAAAAAAAAAAAAAAAAAAAAAACCTGTGCGCCCATTTCTGCTATATGCCTTGGTGGAACTTCCAGAGGATTTTCTTCCACATGGAGCACCCGTAACCGTGATAGCATCCCAAAAGAGTCAGGAAGGACTCTTATCTGATTATTGCTGATATCCAACTCTTCTAGCATTTCAAGGTTTCCAATGGCTCGTGGAAGTGACTGCAGATCAGCAAAATTATTTCCTATGTTCATCTTGACAAGTGTGGTTGCAAGGCACAAACTCTCAGGCACCGATTCAAGCTCATTGAAACTGAGATCCAACTCCTTCAAGTTGGACAGAGATGCCATTGTGGTTGGCAGTTGTTTGATATTATTATACCTGAAAGAAAGAATCTCCAGTGACTCAATCCGCCCTAAAGCTTCTGGCAGTGCTTTAATCCGGTTGTAGTCTGCTCTGAGCTCAACAAGGGACAAGCACTGGCCAATGGTATGTGGGATTTCTTCAATATCATTAGTCTCCACATTCAATTTCTTCAGACTGACAAGGGTCCCAATTGACTCCAGAAGCCATGATAGCCGGTTTGAGCTCAGATCAAGCTCCTCAAGGCGGGCTAGTTTGCCAAGCGTAGCAGGTAGTGATGTTAACTGGTTTCCTCTCAGATCTAGATAGACCAGGCAAAAGAGATCTCCAATGGATTCAGGGAGTTCCGAAATCCTGTTTGAATGCAAGTCTAGCCTTGTTAAGGAAGAAAGGCCTCTAATTGTGGTTGGTAGTGCTACAATCCTGTTTTCGGATAAATCGAGAGTGATCAGGCCTGATAACTTCCCTATTGAGTCAGGTAACCACTCGATTTCATCTATCAACTTGTTCTGGAGGTTGAGCTCCCGTGTTCCTTTCTTTGAAGAGACCTCGATCAAACTGGCCAGTTTTATCAGACTCAACTTCTCGTGTTCTTGACCTACACAACTCATGGTTAAAAAGCAATAAGCTTACAATAATAATTATTTGAAAACCATTGAAGGACCAAAATTTGTGAAATATATGAAATGTTTATACAGTTGAAAGAAATGGACGTAATATCTGAAACGTCAAAACTCCAGATATCCATTTCAAAACAATTCGTGGGAGAAAAAGGTCAGAGCATACAGGTTATATTTTCTTTTTGTTTTTTCAGCATACGGTTTTCCAAGTAAAAATAACTTGAAAGAAATAATAAAAGAAGAACATAATAACCGAACAAGCTAACCAAAAATTCACACTCACCTGAATTGCTTACAGGTTTGAGTGAGGAATCAACGATTTTAGGTCGAGATAAAACAGCTTGTCCAACTCCAATCCCATCAACAAAAAAGTTGGGCTTTGCTTTTTTGACATAACTGTCATCCCTTGTAAACAGCTCGGAACTTCTTACAGATTCTTTCTCAGAGAAGAAATCCGATGAAGCCACAGATGAGGACGCCGAAAAATCCAAAGCAGTTACTGAGGCAGAAGCTGTAGTTGTGGAGAAAATGCTTGAAACTGTAGAAATAGAGCCATTAGAGTAGTCAGCTTGGTTAGAATTGGTAGTGGAAGGAAGGCATTTTGACGCTCTTTGGACCAATTCATCAAACAGAACATGGACGTTTTCGAGATGGAGCAATTTCATAGCTTCTCTTTTCTGCTCTTTGCTCTGAAAGTAAACCAAACTCTTCTGCATCTCTTGCAATACAAAGAATAACTCTTCAGGGACTTCTAGACTCTTTCTCTGCTTTGAAATAACGTCCAACCTTGCCTGTTCTTCCTTGTCGACATTCCGAATCAAATCCTTGGCAGCTTCAACCTCATCTATACCAGGTCTAGTGGGCAGAGATCTGTGAATTCTCATGATCTCTTCAACAACTTCATCCACGGATTGCGGAGTAGAGCCCATGTTGTTAAACTACAATAACTAAGAGGAGGAAAACTAAGGAAATTCAATAAACCTTCCAAACGGAAAACAGGAATTCGTATAAAACAAATTCAACGTTGTTCACTAATATCCAACGTTTCCTTTGAAATTTGGTTCAAATATATAGGGAAACGAAATCCAGCATTTATGAGCTGAAGAACAAAACCCCAGATCAAAACGGAGAAATTACGTACAAAAGAGAGCCAATCAGTCGAAACTCTTCCCACTGAGTTCCTAGAAACTGCTTTAAGTAAAACACCCACACTGTAAACGGATTACCAACTATAAAGAACAAGAAGGAAAGAAGCTAGTTTTGTTTGAAGAAATTACCTAACTAATATGAAAATTGTGTCCCTTTGGCTTTGGGTTCCTCTATCCTCCAAAATTTCTAGTAGACTTCAAACAAACCATAACAAAAAAGAGAAAAACCCACTCAAATGTATTTTTTTATCGTATGTGCAGTGCACAGGTATACATACAGCCAGGTAAAAGTGTAAACCGCAGCTGGAAACCAAGTCTCTGTCTTCCTCTCTACTACTCTCTACTGCAAATCCACACTAGTTATATTATATATATCCAGTTCCAAACTTCCAGTGTGCTTTTACATCTCTCCTTTTCAAAATTAAACAAATAAAATAAAAATACAGCTATTTCAATCCTCAGGAACAGGAAGTTTTGTTAGCCGGTTTCAGATTTTCTATTTTTTACTAAAAATAGCATAGGAAGGAAAACCGTGAGAACGGTTAAGACCCAACTGGAACTGGTTTTGGACAAAAACAACAACATGGAACCTTCATTTTTGGCTTTCTCTTTCTCTGTCAAAGAGATGAGATGATGAATCCCGTTTCCCAGAACTACCCTGCTTTTGTAGGTCTGGTTTAATCAGAAAAACCCCACTCGTTAAATCGCTGTGTTGGTGGTCCATCCGTCCATGTGAAGTATGTGGGTGTTTTAGTAATTAAACTACCTTTTGTATATATAAAGACGCATCAGAATTCAGACATCACACATGAAAAAGCAAAGTTGTCGCAGCAAATAACTGGTTCATTGCCCATTTGCCCCACCCCCACCCAAACCCACGGCCCAAGGCCCAAGGCCCAAGCCCCAAGCCAAGAATACCTTATTGCCAACCTGTCATGATTTGATAATTGATTAATTGTAATTTGTGTGTATGTCTGTTCCGTTGCGGTTTAACCGTAGGGTTGGTGTTACCTCTTACCTGTTAGGTAGGTCCACGCGTAGGCCTTCCATCCATGAATAATATGAATTATCCATTCCATCCGCATCAATTTCCCTCTCTCTTCAATTTTGGAACAAAAACAAGTGGAAACCGGAAAGTGATAAGGCCTGATTGCTAAAAGCAGTCCCACGTGTTCATTATATGACACGTGACACATCCAGGTGAACCATCCCACTGTCGGCCAGCCGCATCCAGCTGGCATTGCCAACTTCCTCTTACACTAACCAACTGCTTCCCTCATTTCGCATTCCGATTGTGCCCCTGCCTTTTGCAATTTATTGGAAGGAAAATTGTCTAAAATTCAACATGAGTTTTCAGTATTTCTTTTAAATTCATCACAACTTTTTAAAACGTTTGAAACTTACCATGTCAGTAAGTTTTTATTTTCTAAAACTCATCTTCCGTTAGTACATCGTTAATATTTCTTAATAAAGGTGTCCATGTCAGTAAAAATAACAATTTTTATGACTAAATCATCTTGAATGGCGAGTTAGAGGAAAATGGTTTTTTTCATTTTTCAATTTTCATTTTTTTTTTTACGTTTTAGTGTTTTGTTATAATTTCTAATGTTTTTTACATTTTTCTACTTTCTACAATCTATAAAATTTCTTGTATTTTTTTATTTATTTGCAATTTCTGTGTTTTTCTATAATTTTTATTTTTGATTTTGCTTTTCAATTTCTATAGTTTCTATAATTTGAAAATAATTTTTATTTTGTGTGCAATTTCTATAATTTTTTATATTTTGTGAGCAATTTCTATAATTTTTATATTTTTTGTAATTTCTGTGTTTTTATGTATTTTATATTTGAAAATGTTTTTTGAACTTTTTGCTTTTTTCATATCTAAATATTAAAATATATGTATATATTTTATATTTTTCTATGAAGATTAAAATGGTAATATATTAACAACCGTTAGTCTCTTTCACGTCAAGTTAGTAACATGGTAAGTTTTAGATATTTTGAAAAGTTGTGATCAGTTTAAGAGATGCTGAAAACTCATGGTGAGCTTTTGACAATTTCCCTTATTAAAACTTATTAGAATGATTTACCATTTACCCAAATTACACCTAAAATTCAATATCATTGCATCTTGATTCTCCATTTTTTTTACCTTTTAAATAGCCACGTGTCTTATTACTTTGTCCAAATTGGCACCTTGAATGCCAACAAATAAACACATTGTCTATCCATCTCATTCTTTTCTCTTTTTTTTTTTTTCTTGACAGATTTGTTAATTGAGATAACCCAAATAAAAAAAAAAAAAGAAGAGATTAATAATTGAAATGATCGTATTCATTCTAGATTCTACTTTGTTTTTTTTTCCTTCCCCATGCGCGTTGGGACCAACCGGGTTGGATCACATCACATGGACCGGATCAAATCATCAATGTGACTCCCGTTTGTTCATTAATTAATTCACATTGAAGCAGGTGGAGATGAATTTACATTTGGCAAATGTTTGATGAAGTTATTGGAGATGTAGGACACTTGTATGGAGACAATAGTTTGCTGATCAAACTCAAGTCGGTTTCACAGAGATCCATCCCCTCACTCTCAACAACTACTTCCAGAGATAATCCGTGAGAGATTAATTAGCCTAGCTATCCTTCCTTAGAGATAAGACTATGGATCATGAAGGTAACCAACCAAGAAAGGGAGTACTTAAAACGTGAAGTGAAAACAATATATAACTAATTAATTGTGAGATGTATGTGACTGTTATACGTAGTTGTGCAACACTACTTATAGCCTGAACCCATCACGTTAATTCAAATTAATCTTTCTTAATTAATTAATACAACAGTAGTTTCTACTTTCTAGTGTAATAGACTAAAAAACTAATAAACCTTAACCTGCTTACAACGAAAGGGGTAGAAATCGTTACAGTTTTTTCATGAAAACACAAAAGCAAAGAAACAACTCCCTAACATTTCTGCTAATGGGATTTAGGAATAATTAATGGGGTCTAAGCAATTATTAGCTAGATCTCCTGTTATACATTTTTATAACCTTTATTAAGCATTCAAATTCCTTGTTACAATAAGGGTAGCTAGCTGCTACAACCTAGCTGCTGCTAGAACCTAGAACTCTCTTTTGCTTGCAGATTGCCAATTAAAGGCAGGTCTTTTATCTGAGCTTACGACCCTATCTAGAATATATCCTTAATTAATGGTTTGTCGAAATAAGAGACCCGCCTTTCTGGCTTTTGCTTTTATATATATATATATATGTATATATTGCATTTTCAGTGTTCTGGTCCCCTTTCAAATCCAAAATAACTTTATAATATATGAGATTCCCAGCCAACATGTTGTGTTGATTGATAAACCCCAATCCACTTAGACTAGACAATTGACTACAATGTTTTTCTTTTTCCTTTCACTTTTAATCCACAGTGTTTTTATTTCCCAAGGGGGGCCCACATCAGATCAACTTAAACATTTAATTTAATTTAAAGACGATTACACATCTAGGAAACAAGAGTCAAGTTCTTTCCTTATACCTACGTAGGCAGCTTTTGTGAAGGAATGCAGTGGACATTGCTTTCTTCCTTGCTAAAAACACCAAAAGAGAGAGAGAGAGAAGAAAAGCCCATTCATTCAAGAATTAATGGGTCCTTTTTTGTTGCAAGATTGCAACCCACATGACAACATGCACACATGGTCCATGCCCCATGCACATCATAAACGACAAGTTCCTTTCAATGCACCCCTGCATCACAACACTTGATTCAATAATTCAGTTCTACTTGGAGCCTTGGAGGACGTATTCAAGTTGGATTTGTCGGAGTTTACATATATCATTATCAAGTTGGATTTAATTTCCATGTATGCCTGTAGAATTAATAATGTCTAGTTTCAACACCACGAGTTACTAGCCATGTATATATATATATATATATATATATATATATATATATATATATATATATATATATATATATATATGTCTTGTCTGTATATTGGTTGGTTAAACTCACTCATTATTCGCTTGATCCACCTCAACCCTGGCCAATATTTAGGAAACTCTGTGTGTTGCTATTTTTTATTCATTTTAGTGGTGGAAATCCTTGGCAGGTTGGTAATTAACAACGATGGACGATAACGACACCTTGTGAGGTTTTATATATGGTGGGAGCGAAGAAGAAACAAATATGGTGTCCCACTTGCAGAGTTCATCAAACATGTAACATGAAAACATCTTGGAGGAGAGACAGAGAGAGTTAGTTGGTTTTCATCTGTGTGTCTAATATATCTTTTCCAATGTTATGAAGTGGTTTCATGGAAAATCGTGTTATGAAAAAAGGAAAAATTACGCATGTGTAGGGGATGGTAAAACCCAACAAGTATTACGATATTTCATGCCCAAACCTCCCATGAAATCCATAAAAAGGGACTTAGGCTATGTTTGTTTTCGCTGTAAACTCAATCCATGGAGTTCAATGCCAATGGATTTAAATTTTCATGAACCGTTGAAACATTTTTAAACATTATAAATCAATATAAAAGTACATCCATAAAATCGTTGTATTATTTACATCAATTATCAATGCAAATGCAAAACTCAGCCGATGGGGAGGTTTTCATTGCAAATCTTACACTGAAAACAAACTCGTAAAAATACAGACCGGGGGGTGAAGTTTTACACCAATCTGTATTTATACTAAAAACAAATACAGGTAAATGTGAACCAATAGTAGAGTTTTACATCGATTCACATTTACACCAAAAACAAACTCAGTCCTAAAAATGATAATAGATTGTGATCTGAGATTATATAGAGTGGTTGATGGAACTAACAGCCCCACTTCCTATAGAGTCCATATCTGCTCCTCACATAAGATATGCCTGTGAGGTCAATGTGAGGTGCGTTTTGTGAGGAATAAATCCCAATTTCACTTGCCAAGGGTTTCTAATTGATTGTAATCAAATTTGACTGTCAGTAAGGTGGTGGCTGTGGGGTTGGAGACAGACTTAGGAATTTTAATTTGCTCCTCACAGAGTATTATTTACACCAATCTCACAAGATGTTACAGTCGTGAATTGGAAAGATATCCCCATGAATAACTGTCCAAAAAATGGGTAATATTATGAAGTTCACGTCTCTACCTCACAAAAGTCCCACAATACATCTCCGCCATGTATTAAAAACATCTTCCCATGATGACATCATCAATTTTATACTATCATCGGGAGACCGATACACGTACATTCATAAACTAGAGACAAGAGTTCGAATCTACTCTCAACACACTTCGACAAAACGTTTGGGAATCATACGTTCCCGCTACACGAGACAGAGTTCCATCAGTGGCCCACAGGCGCCCCCACAACCAAATATCGACAAGTGTCCTCACGCATGAGTTTCATCCTTAAAGCGTGCGGAGCTAACGGGACAGACTACGTTAACCCGTCCATTCCATTAGCTCCCAAAAGGCCAAAATCCCCCATTCCCGCTCGATCCTCTCTCGACTCTACTTCGGAGTTCGGAGTACCCTTGTACACTCTCCTTCCGACTTCAGAATCCACTTCCTTCTCCGGCGCCGATGATAATC